CCTGCGGCGCGCCCACGTTTTATTGAATAGACAGTACATGGTCTCGCTCCAAGAAAATTCCGTAGACTTTCGTGTCTGGCCTCCTTTAAAAATGGTAGTAACTATTTTCAGGAGGAATGGCTGTTCTTCTAGTGACAATCTGGATGAGCAAATTCGAGAGTGGATTCGCGTGGAGTGAGGATCCAGACAAGGAATTCAACTACCATCCAACGTTCATGGTGATGGGCATGGTGTTCCTTTATGGAGAGTCCATTCTCGTCTACCGTGTTTTCCGGAACGAACGAAAAAAGTTCAGCAAAACTCTCCACGTCATCCTTCATTCCATTGTTCTTGTCTTCATGTTAACCGCCTTGAAAGCCGTTTTCGACTATCACAATCTCCACAAAGATGCATCTGGAAATCCAGCTCCAATTGTGAATATGGTATCTCTTCATTCGTGGATCGGATTAACTGTCGCCATCCTCTTCTGCACTCAATACGCCGTCGGATTCATCACCTATTTCTTCCCAGGAATGCCTATTCCGATCCGTCAGCTTGTAATGCCATTCCATCAAATGTTTGGAGTCCTCATCTTCATCTTCGTCTCGATCACTGTCGCAATGGGAATCTCGGAGCGTGCCGCTTGGAAGCATACGTAAGTTCAAACATTTCCAAACCCAGTTCAAGCAAAATTTCATTACAGTTGCTGGACCAAGGAAGGACAAATGTGTGCTCAACAAGCTGTCTCCTCTTTCGTCGGCGTTTTCACATTCCTCTACTCCGTTTGTGTTCTTCTCCTCGTTTTGAACCCACGCTGGAAGCGTCAACCACTCCCAGAAGAGGAAGGTCTTCACCATCTGACTTCCAGTCACTCTATGACGGATTGATGTCATTTTTCCGTAGCATTAATTCCCCATATCTATTTATTTATATTGCACCCAAGATCTCAATTACTAACCAAAATTGAATTCTAATTTAGAAACCCCCTATGGTGAAGAAGTTACCTACTGTAAAATGAATAAATATAAATTGTTGAATTGCTTTATTAAACTTTCAGATGAGAAACGAAAATATTGATAAAAAAGCGAAACCGAATAGAAAAAATACTCCTGGAGATATAAAATGAACTGATAATGAGAATAAATACGATAAATACATTTAGTTGATGATAACTATATCCGAGATCACAAGTAGATGACTGAGTAATAGTTGTTTTAAAAATTCAAATCAAGTCTCCTTGGCTTGTGCGAGGTTGAATTCGTTGCTGACGACGTCGTGGCGAGAGGACTGAAAGAAGTGATGTTCGGGTTATACATTTTGCTTCCGGCAAAAACAATTTCTATATTTCCGAAACACTTGAAAAACAAGGTAGAGATTCAATTAAGAGACAGCTACAAACTAAAGAAAAATTGTTTTGATGATTTTAGAACATGTGATTGTACTCATAGTATAAAAAGAGTCTGTTGGGCTAGATCGAGATTATTGTATTATCATTATCTGGATCTTCAGTATGCGATTATCTGTAAGACCCAAAGCTCTAGTGGCATATTCGAATTTTTACTTTTTCAGATAATTATACTTCTGATTGCTCTATTAATTTGTGGATCTTTTGCGAGAAGTACTGGTTCTACATGCACCGAAGCGTCAGAATGTCGCCCTCGTGAGGACTTTGATGCAATTTGCTATAGAAACGTTTGCCATTATTATCCCAGCTGATTTTGATAGTCTGTTTTTCTGTTTTACAATAAAATATATCACACTCACCAGAGCCTTTTCCGGGCGACACTTTCAGAATTTTCTCGGGAATCACTGTTGTTAAATTGTTCTCTTTCAAACTTTGCCAATCTGCCTTCACCATATTTTCACCGTACTCAAACTCGACGCGTGCTCTTTTCGATTGTTCTTGAAAGGCGTTGTCATCCAGTTTTCGTTTCGCCACCATCATCACCTGATTTTGGCTATTCTTCAATTTCAGTCGAGCGCTCAAAATTCCTCTTTCAAGTGCTGGAAGGAGGCCTCGAGTTCTGGCTTTGGCTCGATGCTCGTCGGTTCTTTCGTGCTGAAAATTACGAAACTAATGTTAAATTTAAAAAAAAACTTACATCTTTCCTCTCTCCACTGTATTCTTTCTCGCAAAACTGACAAAATTTATCCTTCTCATCCATTTTGAAAGGTTTCTTATGTGGCTCGTATCGACCCTTCACGAATAGATCATACTCTCGAACTCTTCTCTCTTTCAATGCCGTTTCTGCGATTCTGAATACTGAATGACCCGTATCACTACCGCCGTACAGAGTATCATATGCTGTTCTGGGTATACACCGAATCTCTGGTCGTTTAGTAGGAGCTTCGACTCGCACAAATACTTTAGCAGTTCTCGGAACAGAAGATTGACGGGACTTTGAGGATCGTTGAGGCACAACGGGTGTCTCAGTTCTTGTCAGGGTATCTTTAGTGGCTTTGAGATCAGTCCGTGGTCGAATGGTACTGAGTGAAGTTGTTGCCGATGTGGTATTCCCTTTTTTATTGGCGAAGGCATCCATTTGTTTTAGGAAACTCTGGGGAGTTCTGATCTGAAGACAAGAACTTCATTTTCAGTTGATTTTCGGTCCTTTTCAGGTGTTGGGAGCTCGGCTTTGAAAATTTTGGAGAGTGTAAAACAGACCCAGATTGAAAACTTTGCATCCACACAATTTTTCAGAAATTTCGAGTTTTTTTAAAGATATTTGCTGTTTTCTGAATGACACCTGTTTCTTCACGTTTTCAGTACAACAACCGGTCAAGAAAGGGTGTCTTTCAGAAATCGGAATATAAAAGAAATTTCCAAAAATTCTGTGGATGCAAAGTTTTCAATCTGGGTCTGTTTGACACTCTCCAAAATTGTCGAAATAATCAGAAACTTGACAGCAGAGCTCCAGGCTTCTCCGGTACTGTATTATGTGGTTACCTTGATGTTCTTGGTGAGTGCCTGACTGAGAAATGCTGGAAGGGATTTGAGAACCTATAAATCACACGTTCTATACTGTTTAATGATTTTCACCTACTTTTTCATTAAAATGTTGACTGCCATCCTTTTTCTCGAACTTCAATGCCATCGGATTATCAGAGACAACAGCATGCGGGTCTACTTCTCCGAACGAATCCATAATGTTCGCTCCGTAATTCAGAATTCGTTCAGCTACCTTTGTCCGCCATTGTCGATTTCCAATATCTAGGAGAAAGGATTTTCCCTAAAAATGAAACCATTCTATTTTGGCAAATGAAAGCTGAGAACAAACAGCTAGTAATTTGGAGTTTGAACCCATACTTGGCCTTCTTGTGTTGCTTGATGTGTGCCTCATATCACTCGCCATCTGAATTCAATCGATATTTCGAACTATTCTGTTCAGAAACCAAAAGTATTTCTGTAAAATCGATAAACTCCGAAAATTGCTTCAAACGATTACTAATTTGGAAGTTTTATAATTTTTATTATATACTTTTTTAAAAACAACAAATTTATAACAGGGGAAGAGGACTAAACTACAATGACTGTGAGTCCTAAAGAAGGAAACATAGATAAAGAAGAAGAAAAAACAAACACATCAGTTAGTGGAGAACGCGTGATTTAGCATACTCGATGTAAAGAATCGCCTTTAATGATTAATGTCGATGAAGACTCGTGTCAGAATGACAATTATCAAAATGGTGATTTGGGGGAAGGGATAATGTTATTGATGGGGAGGGACTGAGAACGGAAAACATGTGAGAGTTGGGGAGATAGAATTTCAAAAAAAGGGAATCGAAACACTGCCAGAAGCAAGTATCTGGTGATTTTTTGAGCAAATTTGGCTTTGAGCGAAAGAAATGGTGTGAAATCTCAATAGACTAAATTTTAAAAAAAGAAAACTAAAATGCAAAAAATTTGACACTCTGCACTGCCATTAAAAAAACTACGCGTTTACTGCATTTCGATATCTACACTTAGAAAAAAAAGCGAACAATTAGTCTTGCGACTAAACAAAAAGCATTTTAACAGAAAACTAAAAAAAAACATTTCAACGAAAAACTGATCTATATACTAAAACTACAAAACCTAAAATCTACTATAAAAACAAAAAAAATAAGGTAACAAAGTTTAACAGAAAACTAATCTGGCTATCTAGTCTAAGGTTTCATTGTCTAGTTGAGCAGCGACATCAGTGGCTTTGCTCTCTTCAGCAGTTCCGATTTGTTCTTTTTCCAGTGCCGCTAAATTGGACAGTCCTGGAATTCCGATTATCATTATCCCGTTGATGATATTCAAAATATCAAAAAGTGCACTGATTGGTGGAGGTTGGATCTGTAATCACTCGAAATTGGAAACAAAATGCTGAAAATTTAATCTCACCTGGAACAACTCGTTTATGTTTGTGTTATTGTCTGGGTTAAGCATTTTCTTTTGGAATGTAACAGCTTGTTGGGTCAGAGTACGGAGGTACTCTCCAGAATCCTTTACTCTTTGATGATTCTTTCCATACAGCTCAGTATAAATGCTGGACGTCTCTTTCTCCGCAACGAGAGCAGCACGGAAATCACCACGAGCGGCATGTGTCCTTGCAATCAAATTCGAGATCAGTCCGGTCTTCAGCTTTCTTGGTTCCCCAATAGCTTTGCTGATGGCGTCAGCTGATTGAAGGTATTTGAGCGCTGTGTCATATTCTTGGATGGTGAACAAAATCGTTCCAATGTTGGCATCAATTTGAGCCATAATAGGGTGTTTCTCTCCGAAGACGAGGTTCATGAGGTATCTAGCGCGGTAAAGAGGACGGAGAGAGCCTGGAATGAGAAGTGCACCGAACGCGAAATGAGCCAGATTGATCTGAAAACATATTAAAAGATAATGAATGAGGGAATTCTGAAACTCACGTATTCAATGATGGTGTTCCCGGAATCTAAACCGATCAATCGTTCACTCATAACGGTTGCTTTGTGTTGATGGTTGAGAGCCTAAAAATAAAAGCTCAAACTCGATTCGAATATATTATACTTACATCAGGTGTCTCTCCAAGAACATGTCCCAGTCTTGCCAACGCTCTCAAACATTGAGGCATGTCTGGATGCATAACACCGTAAACAGCAGTCATGATGTTTATAGCCTCTGATATGCATTCATAAGCTTCACGGGATGCACCGAGAGACATAGCATGTTGTCCACGAATTATCATCTTCTTGGCATCAACTGTGAAAGGTTGGTGGTGTTTTATTATTGGATAGAAGTTAATGATGTCGTCTTCAGTGAAAGCAGCAACTTTTTTCGCCGAGGAATCGAGTTGATAATCTCTGGCAACGATTTGAACTCCCATAATCTTGACAACGCGACGGAAGAGAGCAGTTTTTTGAATCTCATGTTGCTCGAGGAACTTGTCAAGAGTTTCCGTATCAATATGATATCCATAGTAATACGCAGATTCCTCGCAAATGCTCTTCCACAATGATGCAGTTGTCAGCGTTGCCCACACTCCAGAATTCTTCTTCTTACCGTTCTTCTTGCTACTCTTCTTATGCGCATGCGAAGCCACAGGGCTTGGCTCAGAAACAGTAGAGAACAGGCAGTTGAGAATGTGCGAAGTACTAACAACCAACTGATCAACTGGAGTTTGAACATTGATCTTGCGAATAACGTGCTTCGCTGAACGGGCAACGATGTCCGAGAGAACGAGTGGACGAGCGAAAGAGTTCGTATCTTGAACGCGTTTCCCGATTTCTCCCAGGTAACGAATATTGATTCCTTTCGAGTGCAGAATATCAGCGAGATTGTTTCCGTCAATTGGTTGCACGGTGCAATCCTTGAAGCTTTGTACAATTTCAGGAATTTGATTAGTGAGAAGGTACTCGGCGGCATCAATAACAACTCGGCGTTGACGTTCCAAGTTTTCGCTTGGAGCATGCTTCACATTAGGCGAGAAACAATCTGGATTGAATTTGATTACGAAGCGATCTTCATAGATGGAATGAATTTCCGCGCACGCCTCCTTGATGGCGTCCTGGACAATCTTATTCTTAGTTTCGATTTCCCTATCTTCGCTAACAGCCACGAAAACCAGTGAAAGCTCACTTTCTGCTTCAGCTGTAAGAAAGAAATATTGGAGACGTTGGAAAACACTTTTGGAATGACTCACCTGCTTGTTTTATCAGTTCTTCATCGTTCTTCTCCTTCGCTTCAGTAATAAGAGCACGAATCTTTCTTGCCGTTGATTGTATGAACATCACAAGTCTAGACTCGCAGAATTGATCCACCAACTCACGACGAAGAGCAGAAAGTTTGTGTGGGAACTTGCGTGGATATCCGAGGTCCTTTGCAGTCTCGGAAACTTCGGCATCTTCCAAGTAATGGACATCTGGAGGCATTGAGCGGAGAAGATCCAAAACGTATTTTCTTCCGTCGTTTCCAACAATTCCCTTAGCTTCGTAGCTAGTGAAGAGTTTCAATTCTTGCTCCACTCCGTCCTTAACACTAATAACATTGTGTGGAAGCATCTTCAGTTGCTGAGCAGCGTCTTCCAGCAAAGCGTGGTACTTTTCATCCGAGACAACAGTTTTTCCGAAATCAATCGATCCATACACAACTGATTGTTCCTGTTCGCGTTCAAGAATTCCAGGAATAATTGATTGAGCAGTAACACGATAACCTCTATAGTCGAAAATAGCCATACCAAGTGTATTCAACTTTGGATCTTCGAGAGTAGCGAACGCACGGACTCCTTGTAGATCAGTAGACGTGGCTGCGAACGCAGCTGCATCTCCTCCTAGTTCTTTGTAGTGATCTCTCACATCGAATCCAAGACTGAAGAAAATGTTGTTCCAAATGTACATATGGGTTTTCTTGTCTTCTCCTGGGTTGATTGCCAATATATTTCCATCCAGAATTGATTGAACACCTTTGGCTGCAGCATTGACGTAATCAGCATGAATCTTGTAATAGCTACGATCGCGAACAGCTCTCTCGGCAAGAGACTTGCGAGGCATCTCAAAAGTTGTCTGTAGTTCTTCATTCCAATCACGGAGGAGACCAGGCATGTGATCCTCAAATCCTACGCGGAACGGCTCGATGAGTTCAATCGCACGAAGCGAATCACTGGAATAGTTATCCGGCTTCAGTGGACTAGCGACCCATGTAGAAACTGGATAACTTGTTGGAAGGCGCTCAACAAGAGACTTCTCCACTCTTCTTTTCAAGATTTGCGGATATACTTTCTTAAATCCGGGACTGACGTTTTGAAGAAGTTCAATCACACTTTGGTAGATCGTTTTGTTGGCATTGGAAATGGTTGGATCGAATTTTTGTTCTTGTGAGTTGTTGACATAAAATCCTCTAGTACAGCATGTCAGGTGGTAGACACGGTTCTCAACAGTTGTCACATCGATATACAGAACGTCTCCTCTCAGCTTCCGTGGTCCTGGTGGTGGGTTGAATGGAGAGAATGCAATATCCTTCACGGCGATAAGCTCCTTCTGTTGCGGAACGACGAGATGGGCAAGAGAGCGTTCTTTGCATCCTGGGAGAACATAATCCGGAGGAAGAATATCAGATTGTTTTGACTCTTTTTTCTCGCTTGGATTCAAGTCAATAGAAGCTAGATAAGATTGAGCTTCGTTTCCGCATGGAGGCTCGTGTTGATCCTGAACAAGGCCAAATCTCAGAAGTTCGCGAACTTGGCGTAGATGAAGTCGAGCATCACGAACGGTGTATGGCTCATCAACAACATTGAGAGTACATCCATCGATAAAACCCGGAACAGACCGAACTTCTGAATAGTTATCAACAGCAGTCCCGTTCAAATAGAGCGAAAAACAAGTTCTATGACAAGTGGCTTCTCGATCCAGCAACGTTTGATAAAGTTCTTGAACTAGTTCATTGTCACTGAGCTGAAAATCGAGAAATGTAAAGCTTTAGTGATAGTGAGGAAGCTTACATGAAGATCGAAAGCCTCGCCGCAAGAAGGTTGAATTGTCACTTTCACGAGCTTGTCAGTTTGTTTGTCTGTAACTACAGATCTTTAAAATTGGTCGGTTACTCAAAACTCTTACCTTCTGAGGCATCTGGAGTGTTGATAGACGAATGACCCGAATCGTTGTTATCTTCTTCGTGGACCAATTCGTCTTTTCCGTTGACGACTGGTGCGTCAACCTCAGCTTTCAATTCGGAACCCGAAGTCATCTGAAAAAAGGACAAAGTTAAAATAGCCAAACGGATATATTTAAATTCGGTATAAAAAATTTATAAAAAGTAGATCCTAACAATAATTGCAACGTGAAGTATGATGCAATTGAACAGTGAGGAAATCAAAAAGAGATGTAGAAAAGAGAATGGCGAGTAGTGATGATCAGCAGGAGATGGTAATAAGAGACTTTAGATTATGTGCATCCTGTAGGGGTCACAGAAGAGCTAGCAGACTGCGAGAACCGTTTGTAGGAATAAAGGAGGTTGGATACCACACAATCTCCTACATTATTCTCTGTTTGCACAAATGACAAACACACGACACACTTGCATGTCAATAATAGGAATTCCTAGATGTTCTCATATCGAACTAAAAACCAAAACTATCTGATGCAATCAGAAAAAAAAAGAATCTGAACAGAGAGATAAAGAAAAAATGTAAAAATTGAGACGCCTGGAATGCGTCAATCAACACCAAGGCACCCGTTTTGCAGCTGGCGCCCTTTTCGTTTTTTTCTATCAGAAAATCATTGGAACACATCAATTTATCATTGCTGGTGGCGATGAATCATAGAAACAATCGGAATTGGCTAAAAACAGGGGGATCAGTGACGTCATTATTATTATTGGAGAGTACTGGTAGCCCTGCGGAGGACAGACTCTGCCGACAGGTCTCGCAGCGAAAGCAGATCTATATTGTATCCAATTCGTTGCGAGACCTTTCATGCTTTGAGACTTTTTTGTCGCGAATCAAACATATTTTTGAATCAATACGATAAACTAAATACTGTAAAAATAATTTTACTTCACATTTGCATAATGAATAACTCGAAAATCCGCCCAAATATTTTTGTAAAATCGACTGGAATTTCATTGAATATGCAAAATGGCTCACCGATTGTGAGACCTACGGTACAGTCTTCGAATGGTAAGATACACTTCCAAAGATTAATGAATAAATGCCAATCATCAGGACAAGAGAAGAAGCTGTTCATTGTCAGAGGAAATACGAGGCTCCCTGCATTTCTCGCTGCTGGTCCGAGCATCAGAAGATCACTACCTGCTAACATCGACATCGGAAGACCACTACCTGCTAAAATCGAAGTCGAGGAAGCAACCTCACCACCGCAACAGCTTATGGAGAAAGAAATCAAAGAAGAACCGATAGACGAGGAAGTGGAAACGTGTGGAGCAATTGCTAATATTACGGAATCTAGTGAGTAGATTCAAAACATTTTTAATTGAACCTGTAAAACTTTTAGAACCTATAAACCTAGAGGATTTCATGTGCCCCCCAGTGATTTCCCAACAGTCCAGTTCACGAATGCGAGAGGACGACCTAAAACAAGAACCTTTGGTTTTGCATCTGAAGACCGATGCATCGAAGGTATCTCCATCTCAATTACCACTACCACATAACTTCAAGAAAGAAACTAGACCGTATCGCAAAAGAAATCGTAAGCCAACACGAAATGATGACTTCATCTACGAAAATCCAGAATCAGCTGAGGAAAACATCGAGGATACACCTGAACCGTCGTCAAAAAGTAGTAAATCAGCTCAGGGAGATGGATGCAGATGTGAGTACATTGTTCCGGAACTCGATTCCAAAATGGATCGGATCATGGACAAAATGCATTTCATCGAAACACTAGCCAGATCAATGCTGGCTAAAGAACAAACCAACGCTATGGAGAAAAGTTTCTCGAATTCGGCGTTGGTCAAGGCGCAAAATGAGATTCAGCTTCTTCGGAGACAATTGATAATACAGAGGGTATTTCATTTGAATTATTTCTAGTAAAATAAAAAGTTTCATGATTTTCAGAACACAGGAGCTGTCCCACGACTTGACAACAATTTCTAATACTCTCCTCTACATTCCGTGTTGTCTGTACAATCTTGAGTCCTCCTGTAACTTAATAAATTGTTTTTTTTTTAATTTTCGTGTGTTATTTTTTTTTTGTTTTTCTGTGTGGTTTCTGACTTCCATACTTTATTCAACATGAGATAGCACTGATCGGGGTTCGAAGGTCAATCACCGAAAAACACGATTATTAGGTTTTTTCAAATAATCAATTGCTGCCGGATCAATTGCTACCGGTTTAATTGCTACCGGTGATCAATTGCAACCGGTGGTCAATTGTTACCACCTGATCAATTGCTACTGGTTATCAATTGCTACCGGTGATCAATTGCTACCGGTGATTAATTGCTACCGGTGGTCAATTGCTACCAAACGATCATTTGCTACCTGTGTTCTATAATTGCTATCGAATATTAAGATTGGTGTGAAACATAAACTGGCAAATAGGCAGATATTATGTTATCCGACAAACTGATACTTAGGAATTGCCCCAAATTCTGGAGGTACATCGAAAGAGGGTATATCGGTTGAACGGAGTACATTGACAATTGGGGTACATGTTATGGAGGGAAATTAAGAGCTGGAATTGTGCTTTGAAGAAGGGCCCATACTCCAGGGGTACATCGAAATAGGGTACATCAAGCTCAAGGGGTACATCTAGGTAGTTGTCTCAGGGAGTACATCTAGGCCAATCTCAGGGAGTACATCGGCCAAATTCTCCAGGGGTACATCAAAATGAAAATTGCTTATATTATCAGAAAACAAGGAAGAAGACAATTCTGATGAAATTCGTCCGTTTTAAAAACGAAATAATGTTCATATTCTATATAAAAATTTCACAAGATTTTAAAACTTAAATTGCATTCCGTTTCTTTCATAGTTTTTTGGCCTTATTCCTTGGAGTTTGTTTCATTTGAGCTTAAACCCACCGAAAGTAATTGACGAGTTATCACATTTTGAGTCACAAAAATAGGGAAATTAAAGTTCACAGCAGGCAAAAAGTCGAAAATTTGATTTTAATTAATGCGATTTGAATAACATTAAACCTAATAATATTTTTTAATGGGCCAGAACAAGAAAAATCATAGGTTTGAACATTCAAGTTCTCTGAAACTTTTTGGAATTTTCTTTGGCAACATGAAGCTATAATATCAGTAAAAACTTTCCCTCGCCCACCGAAACCCGTCCATAACTTCAGTGGTTTCTAAAACAGGAAGAAAGTGAGGAGGTTGAGAAAGCAACAACTTACGGAAGATTTCCCACGACGAGGTCTGAAAATAGGCACTAACTAGTTGAAAATGTTTAAATACGGCACTGAAATTTTTCTGTTAGATTTCATGTAGTTTTTTCACTTCTGTAGGGTACAAAATTTTGTAGAGATGAAGGAAAAACCGATGAAAGAGAATGAATAGCAATTGACCACCGGTAGCAATTAATCACCGGTAGCAATTGATCACCGGTAGCAATTGACCGCTGGTAGCAATTGATCAGGTGGTAGCAATTGACCACCGGTAGCAATTGATCACCGGTAGCAATTGAACCGGTAGCAATTGATCCGGCAGCAATTGATTATTTGCCGTTTTTGGCTCCATTGTGCCTTGTTTTGTTCGTAACTTTCAAGGGGTTTCCATCCTAAAATCGTTTTTTTTCTTTATCTTCACCAAATTTCTATTCCTACATTATACATTTTCAGATGTCCAGGAATACAGGTCATTCTCGTAATTCGGAAGATCAGCCTTCGTTCCAAAAACGAAAGATCACTGAATTGGTGAAACTCATTCCAGAATGCGACGGGTATCGATGGATAGAAAATGTGAACGAAACTTTTGAACTGCTCGATGAAAAAATGGGAATGATGACAAGAGTCATGACGTCGCTGATGTGTAATGAAGAACCAAATACAGTTTTCTCGCGTACCGATGTGCTGAAACGAGTACTTGAAGACTGCCGTGGGATCACTTCTCTGATGCAAATACAAAAGGTTGGAGAAGAAGAAGAAGACATTTTCAGCTTCGCTTCATTTTCAGATGAAACTAGCTGCCATAAGACACGAGATCCCTCAGACAATGGATTCTAATGAGATAAGGAGAGAAAACACTATTATGAGGCGACTATTTTCTGGAAAAGTAATTGTTATCGGAATAAAAAACGGTCACCTGCGTGTTTACAGACTCAGTGAAAAACATGGGGAATTTCACTCTGAGTCTGCAAAAACGGGGTGATATTCAGTTCATAATTCCATATGTCGTCCCAATTACATGAAATTAGGTTTTTCAGAGGAAGCTTCCAGTGAGTCCATTCTTGTTTAAAGTGCCAGAGACTAAGGTAAAATCCATAAATCTAATTTGCATAAATATGAGCTTATTAATTTCAGAGAAGAAAGGTCCTTGACATGAAAATGTAAGTTTCGGGAACGATTCGAAAGTCGCAAATGCTGCCGCGGCTTTAATATCCTTCTCCTTTTCAGTTCAAATGTATATCGGTCTGTGTACAGAGAATTCCTCGTTTATCCTTCGCCGATTTTCAAGTTGTCTGAATTCATATCGCACATGAATGAATTACCAAAACCGAACAGATATACTGAAGAACAAGTTCACCTGCTTGTTCCCGACTTGATGAGGCGAACCTTTATTAATGGATTCTCCTGTAATGACGGAACAGACTATATAGTTGTGAAGGAACTGGTAGGAATGGCTCACAACATACTTGTGAAATTTCGGCCCGGCAGAAAAAAAACAAAATTTTTGAAAAATGAATTTAAACAGCCGCCATTTTTGTCAAAGCGATAAACAACTTATATTTGAAAATTGTTATGATATCATGCTGTTTTTGTTTTTGAAAATGAATTTATTGATTTTTAGAATGTATTGAAAAATAACTCGAAGAAAAAAAACACTGAATACCTTTTTTCGAAACAATGATTCAACTTTTCGCTCAAGATTTTGAAGTTCGCGGTAAACTTCCGGGCCGACCGGGCCGACCGGGCCTCCGGGCCGGGCCGGTGAAATTCGTGTTTCGGCCCGGCCCGGCCCGGCCCTTCACAAGTATGGCTCACAATATTTTTTTTTTGAGAAAACGAATTTTTCAGTGTATGCAAAACTTAGGCAAACAATTGAGTAACTTCGTAGTAACCGAAGACGAATACATGACAGCTAGCGTTCCAAAGAGCCTTTCAGATTTGAAGGAAATGGTAATATCGAAATAATACCGAACCAATAAAGATTTATACTTTTTAGATAGCAAAACTTGAAGTACCTATTCTAGAAAAGTTGGACAGTGAGCTCTGGTCAATAGTGTCAAATATGATTCTGGCTACAGCAGTGAGGCAAGCCGGAGCTTACATCTTTCCTAATGAGTTTCCATCAAACCTTCAGAATTCGGTAAGACTTATATGTGTAAGCAGTATGTCAAATCAGTATTCTTCAGGTTTTGAAAGTTGTCACAACATTAATAAATTCTGGATTCATCGAAGAGTGCCAAGAGGATGGTCAACCTCAAATTTTTGCTAAGTGTATCAGAAAAGATACCGCTGAGAGACTCGGGGCCACAGTTGAGATACAATGGTGTTTGAACAACTCCTATAAATAATTTTACCCTCCTTATCCTGTGTATATTATGTAAGATGTTTCAAACAAAAAGAATATCTTATTTTCTAATAATCTTATTTTTTCCTAATAACTTTTTCCAATAAATTTTTTTCTATATGTGCAAGTGCGCGCTGTCGCGTTGTGTTTGAAAATAATGTGCAAATCAAGGAGACGCAGCGTTGCCGAGTCTTCGATTAACACAGACGCAACCAGTAAACGTTTATCCTCCATCTCCTTGTTCCTCAGTATTCTGATTGATTTTAATTTTTGCAATTTCAGAATGATACCAAATGGTTTTCCATTTATCAATCCGAATCTCATGGCAGCAGCTAACATTCAGCAGCAAATTCTTTTACAGCAGAGAGGTAAGATATATTTTCGTAATGGTTTGTACTTGCCGGGCATATTTGTTTTCTAGTCTTACGAATATTGTTAGATAAACTAGAAACAAATTCAAAGCTGGCGCCAGAATCTCGTCAGCAAGAAAATTTAGCAAATTTGCGAAACCCTGATGATTGCTCAACTAGAATTATTCAGATTTAATAATTTAAAATTGAACAGACAGCTATTTTTATTTTTCAAATCATTAATACAAACATGGAAAACAAAGACTCCATTCCAGTAGCCATGTCAGGAGCTGGCGGAATTCCACAAATTCCTATGATCCCGATGCCAGCTCATAGTGCCGTGGCTGCGCACGCAGCGGCAGCAGCAGCTGCTGTTGCAGCTCCAACCAGACCGTCTCCAATGCTAGTCCCTCCAGGAATGGGAATGGAAGATTCGACAGCGTCACCGGCTGAATCAGAGTGGTCGGAACATCCACACACCGATGGACGAAGCTATTACTACAACAAAATAACAAAGCAGTCGTCTTGGGTGAAACCAGATGCTCTTAAAACACCCCAGGAGGTAGAGCAATTTTTAATTTTTTTTTCCAATAGACGATCAATTGTTTTCAGAGAGCCGCAAGTGCGAAACAAGCCCAGCAAAGTGTTTGGAAAGAGTTCGAAGCCGATGGAAAACCTTACTATTACAACACAATTACTAAGAAAACGCAATGGGTTAAACCAGAAGGAGAAATTATCACAAGTAAGTATTCTCTAACCATTTTTTTTCACAAATTTTACGTTTCAGAACACGAGCAACAGCAGAAAACAACGACTACGACAACCACCTCTGTCACCATTGACACCAACGCCCTCGCTGCGGCTGTTCAACAAAAAAAAGCCGAATCCGATTTGGACAAAGCCATGAAAGCTACTTTAGCTGCTATGCCTAATGTTCCTCTACCATCGGAGAAGAAGGAAGATGACACACAAGTTAACGATGAAGTCGAATTGAAGAAAAGGCAATCGGAACGGTTCCGTGATTTACTACGAGATAAATACAACGATGGAAAAATCACTACAAGCTGCAATTGGGATCAAGCCGTTAAATGGATTCAGAATGATCCACGTTTCCGAATCTTGAACAAGGTTTCGGAAAAGAAGCAACTGTTCAACGCCTGGAAAGTTCAGCGAGGAAAAGAAGAACGAGTGAGTAAAAACAAAAAACAATTTATTAACAATGAGCACTAGGCAGCTAATCTAATGAGAGATCAATTAAACAGCATCTTTTTACTTCAACATAATTCCATTCTCGTTGAGTCTTTTTGTCGTCAGTTCGAACAATTCTTCTGGCGTTGCACTGGCATTCTCTGATTTCACTAGCTTGTACTCGTTGATGAATTGCTGCGAGACACTTGTTCTTGAACTATCCACTTGAATACCAGCTGTGCTTCGATACGTTTTATAGAATTTCCTGTAATTTTATCTAATTTGAAATGGTCGTGTCATGAAAACAACTAACGCTCTGAGAACGTCCTCTTCGTAAAATATCGGGCGAATTGGTTGATCAAACTTAGGTAACTTCACATTCCAATCCGGTGGTGATAGTGGCGGTGACGAGATGTAAACGTCATACCTGTAACAAAGTAGTTCAAAATTCGTATTCGTCGTAATGTTCTCACCATAATGGTCTATCAGCCCAACTCAGCTGTCCAGCGCGGATGAGTCCGGTAACACGAGAGAAAATATTTCCTGATCTTTCGGCGCGAGTGATAAACGATGACATTTTGAACGCCTTCGCTGAAAAATTTCCGATTGAAGCTCAAACGGCGACGATAGAATCGTGTGCGGCGCGAAAAAGTAGGCGGGATCTAGGCTCCGCCCACCCGCAACCGTGCGGCGCACTTTTCACCTGGGTTTTCCTCAGCTGCTTGCGCCAATGCTTCAAATCTTTTTACAAACAATATTTATGCTTTCAGGATGAAAAACGTTTGGCGATCAAAAAATCAAAAGAAGATTTGGAAAAGTTTTTGCAAGAACATCCAAAAATGAAGGAGAGTTTGAAGTATCAAAAAGCATGCGAGATGTTTGCCAAGGATCCATTGTGGATGGCTGTGAATGATGAAGATAGGAAAGAGATTTTCAAAGATTGCATTGTGAGTTGATTTATTGCTAATTTATTCGGAAAAGTTTTGTTTTTCAAGGGCTTTGTTGTTCGACGCGACAAAGAGAGGAAGGAACAATGTCGTACTCGCAATCTAGCGGCATTCAGTCATATTCTACAAAGTATGGACCAGATTATCTATAACACGACTTGGGCACAAGCTCAACGGATGCTCATTGAAAATCCACAATTCGCCGGAGACACAAATCTTCAGTGTATGTTTTTTTTTGAATTTTTTAAAAATTCCTATTTGGTTTTCAGTAATGGATAAGGAAGATGCTCTCAGCGTTTTCGAGGAACATATAAAGCAAGCCGAGAAAGAGCACGACGAGGAGAAGGAACAGGAAGAAAAACGATTGCGTCGACAACACCGAAAGACTCGCGAAGAATACCTTTTGCTTCTTGCTGGTCTACACAAAAGAGGAGAAATAACATCAATGTCTCTGTGGTCGTCCTTGTTCCCTATCATTTCTACTGATACTCGTTTTGAACACATGCTTTTACAACCTGGATCTTCACCACTGGATCTTTTCAAATTCTTTGTAGAGGATCTCAAGGAGCAATACATAGAAGATCGTAGGCTGATTAAGGACATTATGACCGAAAAAGACCTCCACATCATTGCGACAACAGATTTTAAGGAATTTTCTGAGTGGATTATGAGCCATCCAAAAGGAGAGAAAGTCGATCAGGGAAACATGAAGCTCTGTTACAATTCAATGGTCGAGAAGGCTGAAAACAAAGCAAAAGACGAGGAGAAGGAGTTGGTGAGAAGGAAGCGAAGATTGGAAAGTGAATTTAGAAACCTTCTCAAAGCTCACAACGTGGATCAATCTTCTGAATGGGCTGTTATCAAGCCAAAATTAGAGCAAGAGAAGGCTTATCTGGCCCTGGAAAATGACGAGGAGCGAGAAGATGCTTTCAATCATTACAAAAATGGAACAGCTGGACCTTATACTTTGGATGTTTTGGAGAAGAAAAAAAAGAAGAAGGATAAGAAGAAGAAGAGTAAAAGAAGTGATGTGAGTTTTAGAAGGGGTGGGGGAAGGGGAGGTTTGAGATGGAAAGAATTATTATTAATTTTCGTTTCTTACAGGGAAATTCTGACTCGGAAGGAGAAATTAGGGAGAAAGAGAAAAAAAAGAAGAAGAAGCATTCCAAAGAAGACAGAACGGATGATGAGGAAAAAGGAAAAAAGTCTCGGAGATCAAGAAAGCGCAGCCATTCCCACACTGATTCTCCTCGTCACTCATCTGATAAACGTAAAAGACAAGAATCTGAAACAGATTAATTTCACCTTGTTTGCTTTTTACCCCTTATAATTTCGGTCTCTGTTCCATTTTTCTGCAATATAAAGTTGCCTAAATAATTTTTTATGATAATAAAAATTTTCTCTTTTTAAAAAATTTCTTTTTCTTTTTTTCTGTTCTTTTTCTCTAGGTGTTGAATGCTCACCCTATACTACTTATTAGAAATGTTTTACTAATCCTAAGCAATCTCAATGTATCTTCAGATGTCAAAAGCCATAAAGCAGAATCTGGCGGATTCAAAAAAGGTAATTTTATAACTAGAATCAGTAGGTTCAAATTTTGTTCAGATGAGTGCAGAATTGTTCTGCCTCACTTATGGAGCAATGGTCACAGAGATGCTGAAAGACTACGAAGATCCGAAGGACGTCACCGTTCAGTTAGACAAGATGGGATTCAACATGGGAACCCGTCTCGCAGACGACTTCCTTGCCAAAAATGCTAATGTTCCGCGTTGCGTTGATACTCGGCAAATCGCCGACGTACTGTGTCGTAATGCTATTCCTTGCTATCTTGGAGTTTCAGCGACCGCTTCCTCATGGAGCAGTGGCGATCGTGAATTCATTATCACTCTGGAATCAAATCCGCTCACCGAATTAGTACAGGTATTTAGATTTGCCTCCTTTATCTTAACTTTAAGTCTTCGATTTCGAATATTTCAGGTTCCTCCAAATCTCGTGTCTGCTGGTCTTTCTTATTCTCAAATGATTGCTGGTGCCATTCGTGGTGCTCTTGAAGCTGTCCACTTCAAAGTTTACGCGTCTGCCGCGGATTCAGGAGCCAACACGGAAATCAGAATTCGTTTCGATCAGGTGCTGAAGGACAGTTTACCAGCCGGCGAAGATGACTAATTAGGGCCATAATGTGATATATTTTGGTGCATGTTTGTATTCATTCCAACATAATATTTATCGATTTAAATGAAGATTTTCAAAAAATGATGAAGATATAGTGATGCAACTTTTTGTGTTTCTGAATTTTAGGTTTTATATATTACAATGTTTGAATTTCCAAATTTCCGGGTTCTCAAATTTTGAAATTCCTGGTTTCATGAATTCCCAAATAAATAACAGATCAAAGGTTTTGACATTACGAATATCCGAATATTCGAGTTTCAAAATTTTCGAATTTCCAAATTTTGGAGCTTTCAAAAAACCGATTTTTTCGAGTTTTAAGTTTTTCCAAATCTCGGATTTTTTTTCGGATTCACCAAAACTTCTGTTTTTCAAGTCTTCAAACTTTCTAATTTCTAAATATGTTTTTTTCTTGTCTGATGCTGGTTCAGAAATTCCGAGAATTAAAATTTCGAAAATTCATAAAATCAAAAAACTCGAAATTCCGCAACTCCGAGTTTCAAAAACTGAAGCACATGGATATAACGCCTTTTGCCACTTTGCATGGATTCTGTTTTATTATTAATTTTCTAATTTCCAGGAACCCATTTTCGTTTCCAATTTGCACTTTCTTCGACTTTCTGAAAAAAAAAGCTTTTTGCTTTCATGAGTTATGTGAAAATTTCAAAAAATATAAAACAAATTATACTCTATATTTTGTGTTTGGCAACTTTTTGTACAGCAGTTTCTTCAGTAAACACTTCAGTAGAAATGTATATGAATTGAAAAGTCCTGAAAAAAGTCAATCCAGCAAAATACTTTTCGAAATCCGCCTTTGTAATTGACAACTACAAAAATCATTAAAATCTTCAGAATTTTTGAAAACTTTCAAAATTCTAGAAAAGAAAATCTGTCGATGTTGACGTCACTATAAAAATAGTCAACTGATTTTGATAAAAAATTTTCACCGAGTCATATTTGCGTGTATTTCCAAACCACGGGGTTTCTATAATTTTATTTTTCCATGGAATGACTGACTTGACCTGGCCTTGTCACCATAACATGCTCTACCCTCCTCTTCTCCTCTGGCCCGCCTTCTCCTGGCGATCGATAATGCATCAGGTATGAAAGAGCTCCTTATTGGAGCGGGTGACGGTATTTTACGAGTAAGGGTGCAAAAGGGCCAATTCACGGAATTGGAAATCTACGAGAACTTGCCCGTCGCTGCCTGCAGTGAACCATTTTTTATGGACGCGTGGAACCACGATCGGTTGCCTGATAAGAATTAGAGTGGATTGAATTTATTCCCGCAAAAATAGGAAGAGAAATATGCCTCTTGGAAAACAGTTCTCTTTGAGAGTCGAAATAGCCTTTGAAATCACTCACATCCCTTAAAAAATTAAAAAGTTAAAAAACAGTCCTCGAAATCGGGGGATATCTAAAAACATGGCACCCCTAGAAATCAAAAATTCTTTAGTACCAACAACCAAAAAATAATAATTGAAGATTCCAAATAGAAATAAGCTTAGAACTCTAAATCCGCGGATACCTAAAAACAAAGTCCCCTGAAAAGTCAAATTAGCCATTAAAACTAATAATTGTAGGCATAGAAATTTAACAAATTCTTTGAAAACCCCAGCAAAACTCTGAATATCTATGCAGAAAAATATTTCCCCTTTCTGACAACACTTGAAGTTTTACGAATTCCAATTTTTACATACTTTTTGGCTCTTTTATGTATAATGTGTCTCTAACCGATTCTGAATTTTTCCACAATTTTAAATTTAAATGAAGAAAACAGCAGAAAACGCGTCAGAGGAAAAAGTGCACGGGAAAAAGCATCCCTACGTGAACTGGCCCTTTCGCACCCTAAATCTGAGTATACGAGAGGGGTATTGGAACACGGGTTTCCGGTTTCTCTGTAGAATCTGGAAGTTGAGAAATTCTATTTTTTTCCGAAATTTAGAACTTGAATCCAGAAATTTAGGCAAATAAGCTAAACTTCGAAAAATCAAAAAATCTGTAGGAACCTTAAAAAATTAACATTTAAAACTCAGCGAACTTTTAAGCTTTGAACGAATCTGGAGAAAAAAATCTGAATACAATCTTGGCCTAGCTTTTAGTCTAGCTTTTAGTCTGTACAATTTTTAGTCTCTACAAAATCTAGATTTTAGTCTATAGTACTCAAACGGTCTAGGTTGTATTTCTGTCTCATTTTGTTTTATCTGGAGATTCACTATTGATCCCAGTAGGCACCGCGGGCTCCGGCCATCTGCGATTATAGAGAATCTCGGATGGTCGTCGGGTTAACCATGTCCAGGTCTTTACTGAGTCTCTAGATATTTCATTTTGTTGCTTTGATACAACGGCTGTCAGTCCTCATTTCAGGCTGTGGATAAACTTTTTTTAACGAAAAACTTGAAAAATATATAGATTTACGTGACCCTTGAAAAAAGTCTAGAACTATTGCCGGATTAAAAAAAGTGACACCTGAAAATCTCGGAGACTGCGCTCGTGTCGATTTACGACGGGGCGGAGCGAAAACGGATACTGTAGATAACAAATTTATTTATGTGAATTTAGTGAGATTTTGTGAACCAAATTTTGATTTCTTGGTATAAAAATGATCGCTAGCATCTCTAGAATCTATTTTTCAGCAAAAAAACTAAACTTAAACGCGAAAGTAGCTCGAACGAGCCGAAATTCTGAAATCAGAACAAATAACAACTAAAACCAAATTATATGTTCCAGATTAGAAATCGATTTAGAAATCGTTGATACAATTAGAATGTCTAGAAATAAAAAAAATGCTCTAAACCAATAACAAAATTTTTCAACAGAAATTGAATGAGTAATTTTTTGAAACAGAAAAACATTTATAATCAGGTGAAACATTTTGGATAGGAAAGCTTTCATCGCACTTCTAATTGTTGTACATTTCATGTTTTTGATATGAAACAGTCAAATAAAATTATTAAAATTTGATGCAATTCATCTCGATCAACTTATTATATATTTTGAAAACCGCTAAAATTTTGAGAAATATTGAAAACAGTAATTTTAGTCTCAAAATATAAAAGTTTTTACGAAACACGGATTTTTTAAAATTGTGAATCATAATTTCAGAAATTTATTGCATTAGTCTAATTCTATGAATTTAAAGACTTGAGAAACTCAAGTTTCCGAATTTCAAAAGGTCCGAATTCGGAACCTTCGATATTCAGAAGTTAGGGAGTCAAGAATTCAGAAATTCAAAAATTCGGAAGAAAAATTCGTTCAGCAATGTTTTTATTCGAAAGTTCAGTAATAAGGAAGTTTGGTGATTTTCAAATTTTTCAATTCGAAGTCCAGAAATTTCAAGGATTAAAAAACAAGCTTCTAATTTTCCTCTAGAGCCAGAAACTACAGAATAATTGGATAAAAGCATTCGGCTTCCGAATTAAAATTTTATTAGTTAACATTTTGAAAAATGAACATTGAAACAGTAAATTTCTATTGTATGGTTTCTCTTTTTTTATTAGCGAATGTATATATTTATATGTTAGCGAATGTATATATTTATATGTTGAGCTTGTAAAAAATATAAATCAAAAGCCAGAAAAAACGTCTCAATAAGAAGAGCCAAAAGTATTGCAGAAAATTACTGGTTTTTCAATTCGTTGAAAATTGCTTCAGATTGGGACTTGAAATGATAGAACACACAAAGCCGATTGCTCGCAGCCACTGTCAAATCCACATCATCTTCTTTACCACTCCAGAGATTTTTAATGGACCATGTAGCCCAACACAAATTGACAAGTGGGAGGAAGAATTTGCATTCTTGGATTAGACGATGCACTTCTTTTTCACGGTTATCGGTCAATGGATATTTTTGATCTGGATTCTCTTTTTTCATCTCATAAAGAGTGTCAATGTAGGCTTCACAGAAAATTTTGATATTCGGATGGTTCTCGAAGAATACTTGATTGACGTGGACACCAGGAGGGAATGGTACTCGATAGTCGAAAGCGCATTCAGATAGGTGCATACTCAAATCATACGATCTCCAATTATATGAAGAATATTCGAAATCGATGAAGACAATTTCTTTGGTGTCGTTGAGCTGAAGAATGTTGGCTGACTGAAAAATTTCCTTTGCTTTTTTGAACTATTATTCAAAATCACCCAAAGGTCATTATGAGCAAAAACTACAGTATCATTGAAAATGGAGCACATCTTCTCAAATTTCGCAACTTCTTCTTCCAACTCATCAATCGTGACTTCATTCGGAATGGCGGTATCTTTGAAATCAACGGATCCGGGAACGAATTTGAATGTGCTCTTACCAGTGGCGCTTAAATTATAGTATAATTAATTTTACATTAAAAACAGTTGCTCACCGACACTCTTCCAGAAATTCTTGAATCATTACGATTGCTCTTGGTCTTTTAGGAATCGGAACTTCAATTGCATGAAGTTTCGGGAGATTCGCGCCGATTTTCACAGCCACTCTGGAACAAAAATTACTATTTATTTTAAATGGGTTACTGTATTTTTTTACTGTGGGTCGGATACTGTATCATTATCAAGAGTAACGCTTGGAAGGAATTGTTCCAATCGTCCACCAGGGAAAAATCCGTAGAGTTTAGGGCCGAGTCCGCGTTCAGACATGATTGAGAAAACTACAGTATCCGTGAACACTTGGTTTTCTTGTTGGCAGTGAAGGCGTACTAAGAAGCAAGAAGGCGTGGTGGATTCAGATGCGAATTTTCCTTTGACCAGGTACAAAAGATTGGATTGACCACCACTGAAATAGCTAGTTCAGAAAAAATAGCGTAGAATCGCGATTCGAATTGAATCGTTCAAGCTTACGTCATCTGAACCACGTCTACATCATTCTCAGTCAACGTCTTCCATTCTCCTCCCAAAAAGTCGGACCCATATTCGAGAACTTTCTTTCGAACAAGAGTAGGATCTTGGGATAAAGTAGAGAACAAATTCTGAAAAGTTAAAAAAAAATCAATTTTCGAAATTTTCTATGTCTCACAATAAGCTCCTGATTCATTGCAACTCGTTAGAAGAATGAGTTCTGTAAATTAGCCATCTGATATTATTCTAGTACGAAACGTCGGAGATATTGAAGAGAAAAGCCAGTCGCCGTGGGCGAATATCCCACAACGACAACCACAGTAACCTACAAATATTTTTCTTTTTAATTTTCTCAATTTTCGTGCGTTTTTCAGTTAATTTTTTTCGCTATCAAAAATAGCAAAAACTCGACGGAAAGCTGTAAAAACGAGACAAAAATCCGGAAAATTTTTCAGGTTAAGGTAGTCGTCGTTGTGGGACCTTCAGCTGCGGCGACCAACATTGCTCTTCCAAAGCTCCGATTTTTATATTAGAAAAATATCAAAAGGTACAGTAACCTCAACTAGTTGCAAATTTAGAGAGCTTTTGATGACAATGGTTCATTGAGTAATACTCCAATATAACAAAATTATGAACAGTTTGTGAGAGACCTTGAGTAAAAATAAATAAAATAAACCGGCAATTGAAAAATGATTCATGATTCAAGTTTCGCAAATCCATCCTCTTTGCGAATATCCAAATTGAAAAAGTTCAAAAAGTTTCCTAGATGTTCCAACGGATTTCTGGTATTGTAGACATTGTTGAGCACAAAAAAGTGTGCATTCGGATTCTCTTCTTTATGTGTTTCGTAGCTTTTCGATGGTACCGTTATGATCAATCGTTGATTTTTCGGAAAAGAGAGTCTCATTTCTCGAAGGTACTTGGTAAAACCATTAGAATCGATTGGAATGTAGACGTCGACACCAAGAAGTCGAAGGTTTTTTCCAAGTCCGAGGAGCATTGTATCAATGACAAGTTTCAGATCAAATGGTTTTTGAAGTGGTTTTGTTGGGTCACGATGGTCTTGAATGACCTGGAAGTGGGCGGGGCTTGAAATATTCCTTCCAGTTTTTTTGCTCTTACCTGATAAACCTCTTCCCATGGAAATGCTGTAATACATTTCCCTTCTCTCTTCACTTTTTCTTTCTTCATAAACGCTGCTACTCTGGATTCCTCCATCAACTTATCAATTTCCAATGGTTGCTCGTACTTCTGAGCCAATTCCAGGACTTTCTCGAACACTTTCAGAACAACTACTGAATCCATAGTAGCGTAGACAATCTGACTCTTTCGTAATGGGCGAGACATCCAATTTCCATTTTGTTCTGATTTATCAATAGTTATATCAAGAAGTTCCTCAGAAAGGTTCACAAGTCGACAGGATTTTGACAGATTCAAAATATTGATATCGATTTCCATCAAAATTTCAGAGAAGCGTCGGACACAAACAAAGTTTTCGATGTCTTCAATCTTGAATTGTTGTCTGATAGGATGAATTGAAAACAGCGCTTCGATATCATGTTTCAAATCGAATCCAACTACAGTAAGCTTTTTCGATTCAAAAATACTTTGATACAGTCGAATCCACATTTTATCTGGGAGTTTCTCGTTTTCCAATTCTACACAATCGATCAAATAGGTTGTATCATGAAAACAAAGTTGAATTGTGGCCACTTTGATAGTGCTGAAAAAAAGATTATTCAAATATTTTGTTTATTAGGAATTAAACTGACTTTGTGTCTGTCAAGTGGCCAGGTCGGAATTCTGAATCATATCCAACAAAAGTTCCGTTTTCTACTTCATCCATTTCAACACACAAGTCTTCTAGTTCTGATTCCGTTTTGACAATTTTAATTGGATATTTTTGTTCGTTTTCAAAAACAAACAACTGTTCGGTTACCTCCTCTTCAGGTTGGGATCTGGAATTTTATTGAATTTTGATTTTAAACTAGAAAAAAAGCATCTTACGTTCTTAAACCAATTAGCTTCTCGACTTCTGCAAGTAATTTAGGATCTGGGTTTTTGAAAAACCTCTGAGCTCCATAAGGAAGGCCTGGATAATCGACTGGGATGTTGATGTATTTTATCCAAAACAGAACTTCAATACTGAAATCGAAAACACTATTTCGAAGCATAGCCAACTTTCGAAAAACCAACCGTCTTTCCTCGATTCTCGTATTCCATAACAACATAAAATAATAGCATACAGTATCCATGGAACTATTTTGAAGTGTATTTTTTGCATGTTCAAAGTAGATTTCATCTGACATCGCACCTAGTTCAAATCGTTGCTTACTGAAATATTTCAATGCTTTTCCTTTCATGTATCCTTCGAATTTTGGTGCATCTCTTCGTTCTTCTAGGTCGAAGTTATTTCGTTTCGCAATTCCATTGAAAAACTTTTGAATGAATGTCGTCAACGACTTTCCATGATATCGATTCGTATTGATTGTGAGTAATCCTTGTTGCTTATAAGGTTCAAAAAAGGCATCAACATTTTCATCTGTTTCTCCAACTAGTTGATCGAAAAATGTGATGTATTCTTTTTGAAATCGAGGACTCAACTTCAACAATTCATCCACAACTTGACACTTATCACATAGAATTAGAGGAAGGACAAGTTCTTCAAATGAAAACTTGTCAACTAAATCGTATCGCATAATCAGATCAGCAGCTTCTTTGAATTGGCGCGTCTCGAAATATTCTTGAATCACTTCGTCTCTTCTCTCTAGTACCAGGTCTTCCGAAAATCCAAAAATCGTGGAGAAAGGTTTCAATAGACTGATATCGCGAACGACATATTTAGTAGCATTGCTGACAGTTTCTTCTGTTAATTGATTTTTTAGTTTTTCTCTATTTTCCTTTTCCCACTTCTCGAAATCGTTGAGAAACCATTGAACCATTATTTTTCCACCTGGCTTCTTTTTTCTGGGAGATTTGAAAGCATCAGGAGGAACATGTCGTAAACGGTTACAAGGTTCTGTTCTTCTGATGTAGAAAATTTTAAGTCTTCCTCAAAAATTTCAATGATTTTGGAATGGATTTTTTCTTCTCGATCAGGGTCTTCGGATTTCATGAATTGCTGAATTTAAAATAGGGAAATGTTGAAATCAGAGAAAAGACAATTACTTTAAGAACTTTCGACCTATCGTTATATAATTTATATTTCCATCCGCTCGTCTGTTGACTTTCCTGACTGCTCTCGTTTGACTTTGATGTTTCTGCCGAGAGGTCAGAAGACATCTGAAAATTACTTTTATTTGGAAAACGAGACAAATAAACGGGAAAAAATTTGAGGATAGGTTTTCTTTTCCTGAGAAGAAACCGAAAAATGGGAGAAAGGGAAGATGAAAAAGGACAAGAAAAGAACACAACATATTGCATTTCCCGCTTTTCTCTGTCTCTCTGCGTCTCTTTTCAGTGTTTACTTCTGCCTTGAAAACTGACAACAATTTGAATAGGAAAATAGAAAAGAAGCCTAAAAACAAAAATTATTTAGCAGGCATCGCGGACCAAGTTAAAATTTTTCATAAAAGCAAGAAAAAAATTTTCAAAATTAGGTGCATTCATAGAAAAATCCATAAATAAAAATACAAATCAACAAGAAAAACTAGGTTATTGCTCATTTTTCAGCATTTCGTAGATCTTCTCAGATTGGGGTTTGAAGTGGAAGTACATGGTGAGACGATCGCTGGCGGCGACTTCTAGGTCATGCCCATTGTCATGCTTGGCCTGTAAAAAATTAAATTTCAAATACTTTATCTAAATATAATACAAACCAAGAATCCTCTGAGCGACCAGACCGCCCAGAAAAGATTTGCGAGAGGAATAAAGAATTTGATTTCCATCATCAAACGAGACACTTCTGCGGATCGATCTTCAGACAGTGGGAACTTTCGATCTGGGTTCTGCTCCTTCATCTATAAAGGAAACTTTTTGTTAGGCATCGTTTTTTCAGTCACATACCTTATAGAGAGTATCCACATAGGCTTCACAGAATATCTGCAAATTAGGATGATTCTCCACGAATTCCTGATCGATCCAAACTCCTGGGGGCGGCACACGATAGTCGAATGCATTCTCACAGAGGAACATGGTCAAATCATAGCCTCTGAAAGTTTTAAGCTGAAGTTGAGAAAAAAAATTATCTTTTATTACCTCCAGTTATAACATGCATACTCGAAATCAATGAAAACGAGTTCCTTTGTGGCATCTAGTTCAAGTACGTTCAAGGGCTGAATTTATGAGTTTTTTCGGGAATGCATCTAGTTCTTATTCTTACCGCTAAATCATTATGACTGAAGACAATTGTATCATCAAAAATGGTTGACCATTTCTCGAATGTCTCTATTTCCTTCTCTAATTCTTCCACTGAGATCGTTTTCCGAGTTTCCTCCTTTTCATATTTTACAGAATTTGGTCGCATTGTGTGAACCGATCCTCCCAGTTGTCTGAAAATTTTTAATGAATGAAACCGGTTCCAACTATCTCCTTTCTCACTTGTACGACTCTAGATTCTGCCTAATGGTCTTTAGTGCTCCTGCACTTTTCGATATCGGAACATCAATGTCATGGTACTTCGGGAAAAGAGCACCAATCTGACGAGAGATTCTGGAATTTAGAAAACTCAGAATGCAAAAAAGAAGCTTAAAACATACTCTGGAAGTTTGATACTATCCGTATCTAAAGTTTTACTGGGAAGAAATTCTTCCAGTCTTCCTCCTTGAAAGAATCCGTATAGTTTTGGTCCCAATCCCCGTTCCGACATGACAGAGAAAATAACAGTGTCATTGAACACCTGTTGAGCTGGTTGGCAGTGTATTCTGATCAGGAAACATTTTGGTGTCTCGGATGAAAATTTCGTTTCGTTCGTTGCTGTTGCGAGATAGATCAGATTCGATTGACCACCACTGTAAGACTCCTTTTTTTAGAATCAAAATTTCGAAAAATGTAACTAACGTGATTTGGGTCACTTCAACTTCATTTCTTTCCAGATGAATCCAACCACCTCGCAGATAATCAGATCCCAATTCTAACGCCTTTTCGAGGATTACATCAGAATCCAGAGAATTTTGGGTGAACAGTGTCTGGAATTTAATTGGTAAATGTTAGAAGTAATATAAATCAAAGGTCTTACTCTTATATCAGATAGCATGACGAGAAGGTGAGTATGATGAGTGAAGAAGGAGGCAGAGTGGGTTATATGTACACGTTGCTTAAGCTGGAACTTGCGGACAGAGTCAGCCAAAATCGATATTCTTCAAGGCAAGCCCTAAAGTTCTGAAAAACGACAAATTAACTCGTAACAAATTTATTGGAAAATTTAACCGGTAAATAGATAATTCATAAAACCATATAAAGCCCAAAATTAAGATATGTAACAAGATCGGTAATAAGATGTATGGGACAAGTTAGAAGTTCTTTAGCTAAAAAGCTCTAGTGCATTGACTCGTAACCGTTGCTTTCAGTGGGAGCTCGACCATCGTAGCCGACTGTTCCACAATCACCGCACACGTAGAAACAGAGATTCGGTCGCTGGAACTCGTCGTCGGGTACTTTGTGGATTCGAACTTCAACACCATCTGGGAGATTGTTATGGATTGCTGTTTGGCGTCTGAGAATAGGGCAAAAGGTTGGGTAGTTGAATAGAATTATGCTTACGTAATATGTAGACATCCGGTTGGTACGGTAGCCACCATCCATTTACTTTTTAGATTTGGACGAGACATCTCTACTTTGATTCCGTCATAATCGTCTGGATTGATTCGAAGCATACGATTCCACCATTCTGAAACGGAAACTGCATCAACCACACAACCGAACTGCTAATAAATACCTTCTAATGGGAATTCACTCATATCAGCGCGATAAACATTCTGAACATGAATCACGGCATATTGATGCAAAAAGTGAAGAACCGGGCCAGGAAACTTGATTTGAAGTCTTGAGTTACATTCAATGCATCGAAGAAACTCGTCTTCTGGCCGGAGATCTACATTAAATCTATCAAAGAAATCGATCAGCTGATCAAGTGGAGCTTTATGATTCAATTCTGGGATTGCCATGAGATTCGACTCGTAATCGACTCGAAGAGCATTGTAACTTTTTGATGGAACTGTGATTATATGTCGTTGATATTCTCCTCCGATACGATTGATAACTCTGAGTTTTGCTTTGAAGTCACTGACGTCTCGTGGAAGATAGACATCGATTCCCACTCGTCTGCAAAAACGATTGTGATTATGGCAATATAGGAAATCCCTACCTCAAGTGTTTTCCAAAACCAAGAAGCATTGTGTCAACGATAACCTGAATTTCGTGCGGACGTTGTAAAGGCATGCTTGTATCACGGTGATTTCGAAGAGTCTGAAAATTTTTTATTACTCTAGCTCTTCAAACAGTTGCCAGTCATAAAACCTCATAGATTTCCGTCCAAGGAATTGTCTTGAGCTTACGCATAACCTTCTGGTCTCGTTCCTTCTTCGGAGCTAATACATTCGAATTCTTCACAACTGACGGTACATCCACATCTTCATTCCTCTCTTGGGTCTTCTCGAGAATCTTCTTGAATGTGTTCACCACAACCACAGCATCAAGAGCGGCATACAGAATTTGTTTCTTGCGAAGTGGACGACATTGCCAGTTACTACACTGTTCAGTTTTATCGAGAACCTGTCCGAGCAGGTACTGTGTTAAGTCTGCTAGTTTAAACGTCTTTTTTGGTAACTCCAGAATATCCATGTCGATGTCACATATATTTTCTGCTAACCGTTTCAAATCGTAGGCATTTTTAATTTGTTCCAAATTTAGACGACCCTTCAATGCGGGAAGTTCAATGATGGCTTCCAAGTCATTCCGCATATCGAATCCAATTAGTTTAAGCTTTGGAGTCTCAAAAAGTCCTTTCGCAAATCTCTCCCATAACAGATCCGGCACTTTTTCTTTCTCCAGCTCCACGCAGTCCACTAGGAGAACCTTGTCCTTGAAGAAAAGTTGGATAATAGCAATTTTTGAAGAACTGAAATTTTGAATTTTTAAATAAAGTGAAATCGGATATATACTTGGCAGTGATCAAGTTTGATGGTTTCCATTCTGAATCGAATCCGACATAAACTGATTTTTCTGGCTCTCGACTTAAGGATTCAATTTCTTCGCAAATACTCTGCATTTCTGATTCGGTTTTAATCATATAAATGGGACATTTATCATCCTCGAAGACATACATCTGTTCACCTTCCTCGGGAGCGCATACCGTTCTGGAATAGGTTATTGAAGTTAAAGGGGGACTCCGACCAAAAATTTTTATTGCATTAAAATGTTCGAAAAGTTGTCTATTTTCCCAATATTATAGCGAAAAAATTCGAAAAAAGTCCTAAATCTCCGAAAAATGGCGTTAAAAGCGAAAAAATTCAAAAAAAAAGTTGCTAGGAGGGACGAGGACTTGAATTCCCGCGCAGTGAGAAACCTAGGTCACGGCGCCTGACAGCCGTTTTTTCAAGTGGCCGACAGTGGTTTTTTACGTTTTTTACTTGCCGGGCATAAAAACCGAAAAAATTCGGAAAAATTTCCATGTTAGAAAGGCGCTATGATGCCGTGGCCCAGGTTTCTTACTGCGCGGGAATTCAAATTCTTTTTTTTTCAACGCAGTTTTTCGGGCATTAGGATTTTTTAAAAATTTTTTCGCTTTTAATAATATTAGAAAAATACATATTTTTTAAAACATTTTAAAGGGGGTGTGCGGTGAAAAATTTTATTGCTTTATTTTGTGCAGAAATCCAAGTAGATCCCCATAAAAATAACGAAAAAATTCCTTCATTAATGCCGCGTTCAAAGTTGATTTCCAGGAGTAATTTCCTGGTCAAAGTGGGAACCGGTGGCCTAGCGGCCAGGTGTGAGTTTTCTAGGCCAACTGCCGGTAAAAGCGCGCGAAATTCGAATTTTTATGATTTTCAGTGTTTTATCAAATGTCTCTTAAAGATTTCGAAATGTTTTTGTCAATTTCCTCCTAGGTGTATCAAAAAACCTGACAAGGGAAGTGTTTTCAGACGGGGGTTGAGAATTTACTCAAAATTTTAGTACTTATAGTTTGAGACTCCCTCTACACGATGTCAGAATTATCTCGTCCCCGGATTCACCAGGAAGCTTAAAATCTTCGTCTGAAATTTTTATACCGATTTCGCGCGCTCTCTCTCTCTCCTCTATCCCCCTCTCCTCTACGCCCTCCGTGCCAGAGGAAAATGTCGGCTGTGTGGTGTTGTGGTAACAGGGTGACTCATTACTAGTGAATGTGCTGGTTCGAACCCCGCTGTGGTAATTTTTTTTTGCTTTTTTCGAAACGAATTTATGATTTCCAGTTTGGCACTCTAGACACTTTATGATACCATTTGATGAATTTTCAAAAATTTCAAAGTAGAAAGTAGAGTTTATGAGAACTTGATGAAAAATTTAATAATGATCTTTTCGACCGGTTCTTACATTATCCTATAGTTAAAAAACGAAAGTTCTACCCTCTGGAAACTTCTCAATTCTACCCTTTTCGAAATGTAGTACTTCTAAATCGATCAAATATAACATTTGAACCTTTTTCTATAGATTACAGTCAATTTCAAGCAATATTTGAGAAGCTAGGGGTTGTCAAAGTTCTAGCAATTACGACTCTTCGGAGATTTTTTTGAGCCCAAAGACGAAATTGGGATGTCAAATATTGTGAGAACGCTATTTTCATCGTTTGTGAATAACTGGGACTTTTTTTGGAACTTTTCAAAAAAATATCAAAAAATCACTTTTGAAGTGTGAGGGACATGGAGGTATTTTTCAAAAATTTTCAAAAAAAAAATTGTTTTTTAATTGTTCAAAAACTGTTCTAGATGATAGAGAAATGTTCAAAAATGAGGTTCGCATCCGAGAACATCATGGAAAACAAGTTTTGAAGCTCGGAAAATGAACGTTTGGTTCAAATTTAGCACTGAAAACACTTTGAGAGCCCATATTTCGATTCCTATTGGATCCGGGGATGAGATATTGCTGAAACCGTTTTCAGCATGTTCGAAAGTACCTTTTCACAAATTTTGTGCAAATTCTCAACCCCCGTTTGAAAACACTTCCCTTGTGAAAAAACACTGAGAATCAATAAAAATTCGAATTTCGCGCGCTTTTACCGGAAGTTGGCCTAGAAAACTCACACCTGGCCGCTAGGCCACCGGTTCCCACTTTGACTTTTCGATGCCGTTTTTCCCATGGCGCGTTAAAAGTTGATTTCCAGTAGTAATTTCCTGGAAAAACGCCGCTGTCCAAAGCTGCCATTGTTTTCCAGAGGGCTCCGCTTCGAGACCCGCCGTAAATCGACATGAATCAACAGGAAGAACACAGTCAAAACCAGTGATGCAGTAGATTACTGTTGCTGTAAATCTGGAAACCAATCGCAGCTTGGTACAGCGTTTTTCCAGGAAATTACTCCTGGAAATCAACTTTGAACGCGGCATTAATGAAGGAATTTTTTCGTTACTTTTATGGGGATCTACATGGAATTCTGCACAAAATAAAGTAATAAAATTTTTTACCGCACACCACCTTTAAGGCAATAAAAATTTTTGGTCGGAGTCCCCCTTTTAGGGGAAATTTACACTCACAATCTCTTCTGCAGAAGACGTTCAGCTTCTTTAGTCTCGAATCTGGCTCTCGGAAGAAGTCTTTCATCTTTCCTGGAATGTGTTGACTGGATGGATAGTTGATTTTCAAATGAATTGCTATGCAGATAGCGTCAACTCTGGAATGCTAGATTAGAACTTTCTGCCAAGTTTCTTCAAAAGATCTTACTGTTTCTCATGAGTGTTAGAGTCCCATAAATAAAAAAGGATCTTCTCTTGAACATTGGGATCTTGCTGCATGGTATCTACCATTGTTTGGAAATAGTTGTCATCTCCATTGTCGTCGATTCCATTATACCTCTGTTGAATACTGTACTGTAGAGCTTTTAAACTTGCACGGACAGAATGCTTTGGAGCATATTTCGGAAGATCCTTATCAAAATTGAATTCTTGTGAGACTTTTGATAGCACTTGCTGTATCTGCTTCTCTACTGTTTTTCCACAGAAATTCTCTAGTCCAATCGTCATAACACGAGAGGATTTATAAGGTTCCAAGATTTCTTCGACTCCCGTCTGCGATAATCCAATCATTTCGTCTAGAAACTGTACATAGTCTTTCTGCATTTCTACAGCGCTTGCCATCAGCTGATATGCTTCTCTATTCTTTCCAGAAAGAATCAGCGGTAATGCTAGTTCTTTGAAGTCCAGCGTATTCGAGAGATTGTGTTGAACAGCCAGTTTAGCTGCTTTTGAGTATTCTCGTTTGACGATCGAGTCTCTGAGCAACTGTGTGACATCTTCCAAAAGCTTTTCTGGACTGATATCAAAAATTTGACTGACAAGAGATTTTTGTTCGGCAAGACATGATTTCAGAGCTTCTAATTGAACAGAACTTGTCAGGTATTTTCCTCGAAGATATTCTTCTCTTCCAGTTTCCGTCAACCACTTTCCAAAATCTTCCAAATACCAGTGTGCCAAATTTTCTCCTCCGGTTTTTGTTCTGTCAGGCATTGCCATCATCATATCAACAGCCATTCCGTAGATGTTCACATCTTAAATTTATTTATATTTTTTAGTTAGAATAAACGGTATATACTCGAATTATAGTCTTCCTCGAAAAACTGTCGCATTCGAGATCGAGCTTTCATTTCTCTGTCCTCAGGTCGACCATTCATAATTGCTTTCAGATCTTCTCGTCTCGTTTTGATTGGTTCTGGATAGTCTGTCCGATACTTTGCTTTTTTCTCAGCTTTCGTCAATTTCTTTCTTGGCTCATCCATTTTTTTTCTGAAAATGGAAACTTTGAGTCAAAGCTGAAATTGCATTTGACTTCTCTGCGTCTCTTCAGCGCGAGAGCATTTCAACAGAGCGCGACTTGAGCCTCAATTTTTTATCTTTGAGACCTTGCAAATTCCGGAGAAAAAAATTTCCG